AAACATGGAAATAAAAATGGAAAGTCTGTGGATTTAAATTGATGTTAAAAAATGTCTAATGTTGTGACTAAAAGTTAGAAAGCAATATTGTAGATGCTTCATTGGCTCTAGGTCAGCAGTCGAATTTAAGCAGATTAGTGGTATTGATTATGATGCTTGCTTTGAGCAGCAGGTCACATTTCCTCTGGATGTAACCTTCCACTGAAGCTTGCGTTCAGTCGATCCACTCATCAGAATCTTGTTCAAGCAAATCATCTTGGAGACATTTTTCACCTGTTATAAATATAGCTGGGCGTCAGTGAGCTGTACACACAAAGCACGATCAAGGAGATTATCTTAAAGCTTTTAGTCTTTCCTCCACGCTCACCTGACCTGAACCCCACTAAACATCTAGGAAGTGGAGACACTTTAAGACAGAAAAAGCAGAATGTGCTAGGATAACAAGGATTTGCACATTTAGGAATAAAAGAAAAATAGTGGGATTTGTTGTGGATTGATGCATTTTTTGAAGACACGTGTTCAGTTGCGAGTTGTCTTGGCACATGTTATAAACAGTTTTTGTGTTTTCTAGGTAACAAAAAGGCCATAATGGATTCGAATGCTTTCCTCTCTGAAGCCAACGCTCAAAGAATTGTCCGGACGCTTTGCAAAGTTCGAGGTGCTGCTCTAAAAATTGGACAGATGCTCAGTATTCAAGGTGAGGTGCAGATACAAATACAGCTGAGTGATGCACCTTAATGGAATCTTAGCTGTGTTAATCACTGTAAACACAAGCAGAAGTTAATCTTTAGTGATACAGTATTAACTGATCTCACGTGATACAGGGACATGAGGGTCTGGACAAACTGCTGAGGCATATTATAAGCAGGAAACCCACATGTGTCGGTGTACAAATAAAGGTTCAACATCCATCACAGACTAAACATGCCTACTGTCTGCTGCTTCAACTTGTCAACAAGACTCTGTCATGCTGATTTGGACTCGCTGGCTAACAAACGAGATCACTTCACCAACTTTAAAATGTCATCCCCAAAAATAAACATCGGGCCAGCTGTACACAATGCGTGCAGTTCCAGTGGAGTTATTGTAGGTGGCAGAGTCTAGCCTGACTGTTGGCTTTAAAAAGCATGTTTACAGCGCAGTCGTGTTTTTCAGCTCTGGCCTGTGCAGTCATGTATGATCCCTGCG